TGACGATCACAAATACCATAAGAAATATTTTGAACCGATTTTTATATTCAATTATTTTGTCAGCCTAGGACTATCCAATTTGGGTCGGAGTCAGGGTTCAATTTCATAGCACAGGTTTTTGTTCAAGAGCTTGCTGTCAGGTCAAACAAAAAGCCTTGTATAAACCAGTGACATGCAGGGTCTCAGACTGATCCTGGTAATTTATCTTCCTAATAAAATACAAGCACCTGGTGGGCTTGTTTTGAATATTTGGACAGTCCAACTGACCACTGGTGCACGTTGGGTTCTCTGAAAGCCAATACTGGGATGGAATTTTGCCTATAGGGCATTTATTAGGGACGAAACCTTGGGAGGTGGGTGGGAGGAGGATTAGGCAGAAGGTGAAAACAAACTGTCATACAGACCTGGCAAAGCCTCAGCCAAACCCACAGGGAGCTCTGGGGCATGCGGGACCCATCAGTCTTGTCCCTCTTTGGGCCAAAATGGCCAGGGCTTTATACCCCTGCATGATCAGTTAGATGTTGGACACTAGGTGGCTTTCTGGAGCTAAGGCAAACCTTGGCAGATGAGACAGTAAATCCTGTTCACCAGAATCATATCCAAATTACACGCAGCACTTTGATGAGGTAAGCACAGGAAGAAATGTCCCAGCAATTCTCATTGAGGAGACATAAATGTGCAGTTTAAGGTAACTTGAAGATATCAGTTGCTGTCTTCATTTAGTTGGTTTGATTGTGGAGGACATATGCCCTGAATGGAGTTAAACAAATCAGGTAATGGTTTCTATTTTCTTTTTTTCTTTTTCTTTCTTTCTTTCTTCCTTCCTTCCTTCTTTCTTTCTTTCTTTCCTTTCTTTCTCTTTTTCTTTTTTTTTGTTAGTTGGCTCCACACCCAACCACAGAGCCCAATGCAAGGCTTGAACTCACAACCCTGAGATCAAGACCTGAGCTGAGATCAAGAGTCAGGTGCTTAACCAACTGAGCTACCCAGGCAACCCGCTGCCATGTCTCTTTTCTATTCTTGATGTCTCTTGGGTTTCTTTAAGGCTCTGAAAAATAACAGTAATAGCAAGTAATTATTAGAGGCCTAGGGTCTAATTAAATCATGTAGATGTTCAGGTGCTGATAATATTCTAGAGTGTTCCAGGGTCAATTAATCCAATAGTTGGAAAGTCCAATGGTTGGAAAGTTCAGTGGTTGGAAAGAATTGCAGTCACTTTAATTGTTTCAGAATGATATTAAGGGATTTTAAAGTTCATTGTCAGATCATGGATCTTGATCCAAAGATCATGAGAGAAAGATGTTGATACCAAGAACCATAAAAACTCTTGGCATTGGGGCTCCTGGGTAGCTCTGCTGGTTGGGTGGCCAATTCTTGGTTTCATCTCAGGTCATGATCTCAGGGTTGTGAAATTGAGCCCCATGTCAGCTCCACTCAGTGCAGAGTCTGCTTGTCCCTCTCCCTCCACTCTGCCCCTCCTCCCCTCTCCCACTCACACGCATATGCCCTCTCTCTCTCAAATAAATAAATAAAATCTTAAAATAAACAAACAATAAACTCTTGGTACAAATGGCTCCAATCCAAACCCATGCACTAAGAGGCTTGACCAAACTCTAGCATGGTTCCTAGCAGACTAAGGCCATGTCCCTGGGATGACTACTGCTCCCCCTCACCACACCCCCTGGAAAAGCTCAAGACTGCCAAAAGAACTTGCTGTTTGTTTCAGCCAATACCTAATAATAGGCCCTTGGTCTTCCTTTCTTAGAACATTTACTAAAAAGGACTTAACAATTATAAATCCTTCCTCTATCCCTTTGAGATGTATTTGTATTTCCTATAACCAGGAGTGTCTTTCTCAAGGACCCAAAAACCATACCTTTGAAATGTAATCATCAGGAAGGATAGGGTATTTGCCTCCCAGTCTTTTGGGGGAGGGAGGGAGCCTAATTTTGATAAATGGTACTTAGCAGAAACAGATGGTCTAATCACATTTAGGTTGACCAACACTTTTACACTTTTTATGTAATTTTTCACTTCCCTAACTCTGCTCAAGCCTGTACTTGCTCCCCCTCCCTATTCCCTCATTCTCCCTTAAAAAAAAAAAAAGATTTATTTATTTGAGAGAGAGAGAGAGAGAGAGAGAGAAACTGAGGAGCAGAGGAGAGCAGAGGGAAAGCAACTCCAAGCAGAATCCCTGCTGAGTGCAGAGTCCAGTGCAGGGCTTAATCTCATGACCCATGCAACCATGACCAGAGCTGAAACCAAGAGTCAGATGCCCAACCAACTGAGCCACCCAGGTGCCCCCCTCATTCTCCCTTTAAAACGCCCTCTCACCTCTGCACAAATTAGAATGGAGCTCACTTCTTTCCCCTATGGCACTAGCTACTTTTGCCACTTTAACCAATGTCCAGCTTTGTTTATCTTTGGCAATACCCAATGGTATCTTATTGATATATAAATTGTTTGGAGATAGATTTCTACTTTTGGAAGTCTTCTGCTTATGGAAACCACTTAATGAATCTCAGGATTAGATCTCCAGTGGAGCTAGATATCTGGGATCCCAAACACATCAGGCTGATGGCATGGACTGAATTTCATCCACCCAAAATGCTTTTGTTGAAGTCCTAACGAACAGTGCCTTAGACTGTGACTATATTTGCAGGTAGGGTCTTTAAAGAGGTAATTAAGTTAAAATGAGGTCATTAGGGTAGGCCCTAATCTAAGTGACTGATGTCCTCATAAGAAGAGGACATTTGGATATACAAGAAGATACCAAGGATGCTTGTGGACAGAGGAAAGACCATGTGAAGACAGTGAGAAGGAAGCCATCTGCAAGTTCAAGGAGAAAGGCCTCGGAAAAAACAATCCTGCCAGCACCTTGATCTTGGACTTCTAGCCCCCAGAACTGTGAGAAATAAATTTCTATTATTTAAGCCACCAGGTCTGTGGTATTTTGATACGGTAGCCCTAGAAAACTAGTACAGCTGGGAAGCACATTCCCACAAGAGTTTGCATTAGAGCTTAGGAAATCTATATAAGGTCCAAAATGTTCCTCTGTAGTATGTTCTAAGGCTGACTTCTACTGGTGTCTCTTCTTATATCTTATGGTAGTACATGAAGGAGTATGCCTAGTAATGCTCATTTTGGAAATGTGTCTCATACATGTTGGACATATACTATGAAAATGGTATTTTGAAAATACTTGACAATATTAGAAATGTACCAGGGAGGAATCTGTCATAGTAGGAGTCAAGCCAATCTTCATGAGAACATCTATAAAAATTTCATGTGGTGAAAGTTTATGGGGATTTTGAGGTAGAGATTGTATTATTATTATTATGGAGTACAACTTTAAATAAAGGAAGATGATTGGCCCCCTCTGTATCTTATTCAGAGAAATGTCCATTCAAGTTCTTTGCTCCTTTTTTAATTGTGTTGTTTTACTGTCATTGAGTTGTAGGTCTTTATATATATTAAAGAAATTAATCTCTTATCAGATACATGGTTTACAAATATTTCTCCCATTCTGTAGGTTGCCTTTTCACTCTCTTGATAATGTCCTTTGACAGACAAAGGTTTTAATCTGATGAAGTACAATTTGCATATTTTTTCCTTTGGTGTCTGTGCCTTTGGTGTCATCCAAGACATCATTGCTAAATCCAATGTCATGAAGCTTTCCCCCTATGTTTTCTTCTAAGAATTTCATAGTTTCAGGTCTAATGTTGACATCTTTGATCCATTTTGAGCTAATTGTTGTCTGTGGTGTAGGGTAAGAGTCTAACTTTATTCTTTTGCATTTATTGAAAAGACTGTCCTTTCCCTAATGAATGGTCTTGGCAAACTTGTTGAAAATTATTTGACTTTATATTGAGGGTTTAATTCTGGTCTCTTGGAATAGTGTTACATTTTATTTTTTTAATCCTTCAGATCATTACCATTCATAAAACAGAAATTATGTGAAAAATCTTTTCATATCAATAGTGATTTTGCTCAAATGAAGGCAAGAAACTTAATCTTAGGTAATAAATACATAATTCTACACATCTGTCTTCAAGGTGTTACTCAGCCAAACATGGCTACCATACAACAAAACCCAGAAATGTACAATACTAACTCAGTTCAGGAGTCTGATATTTTGCTGACTTTTAATCATTTAAGAAACATAGCTTTATCACAGACCTGTACCCCTGAAACAAATAATACATTATATGTTAATAAAAAAAATTAATAAAAAAGAAAGATAGCTTTCCATATTTGTGTGTGGAATATTGTCAAGCCCTGGTCTTCGCACTCCCATTTATATCAAATGACCCAACACAGCATTGCTTACAGATCATTAAATTGTCAGAACAATGTTCACAATCAGTGTGTCCATTAAATTACCCTGAGTCCTTAATTTTCCTAAAAGTTAGCAAACCTTCAAAGAAACCCAAGCCATCCCACCCCCACGGGACGGACCATCACTGGAGTGTTCCAGAAGAGAGAGTCTCTGAAAGGGGTACTAGTACTCTAGAAGTTTCAATGAGTTAAAGGCTTTGAAACCATAAACACGGCATTTCCATTGTGCTATTACAATGACATAAGCAGTGCTTCTATTCTGTCAGCACTGTTCATTTTTTATAGTTTGCATATACGCCACAGATCGCTCAGCAGCAGCTGGCCACCCAAACGCGCTTTATGGTGCTCTGCAACGGTGTCCCAACACCCACCAGCCTTGAGGGCGAAGTCTGAAGCCGAAGTCACGGTGCGACCCCGACGGCACGGCCAGGCAGGAACCCGAGGACCCCGGCCCCGCCCGCCACAGCCACACGGCCCCACCCTCCCAGCCGGAAGACGCCCGCGCCTCCCGGGGCCCGCTCCCTCCGGGGAGCGCGCGGCGTTTGGTGCGCCGGCGCAGGCCCCGCCTACTCGCTCGGCCCCGCCTTGCCGCCGTGACGCATAAGGACCCGGGCCCGGCGCGCCCCGCCTCCACACCCTGTCGCGGCGCTTCGCTTGCGGAAGCATGGAGGGCGAGAGCACGTCCGCGGTGCTCTCCGGCTTTGTGCTCGGCGCACTGGCTTTCCAGCACCTCAACACGGACTCGGACACGGTGAGCCGAGGGGCGAGGAGGGGGCTCCGCCGTCGCCTCGGAAGAGGCCCCGCGCGCCGGCACCCCCCGCTGCCGTTTCCCCGGTCCCTGCCCACGAGCTCCCCGACGGCGCCCCACCGGCTCTCTGCCCTGGCGCTTTGCCTTCTCCCGCTCCTGGGCCGTCCTAGGTGTACCTACCGCCCGCCAAGTCTTTTCCAAGACTAGCCTTCCCTCTTCTAACCAGTATTTATTTCTTCGCCCGGACCAGAGTGTCCCACACGTCCCCGTTTCTCTTTTCCAGCAGTCTCCCTTTTTTTGTGGGTAAACTGGGTTAGGAAAGGATGGAAAGTTCACATAGCGTTCTCCCACTACGCTGGGGAGGTGGCGGGTTAACTTTCCGCTTCTCCTCACTACCGCCGGTAGTTTTCAAAGACAGCTGAATTTTTTCGTGCACAGCACCCACCGTGTGTGTTTGTTGAAATGGTAGGCTAGTGAGGGAATTGTAGAGGATGCATCCAGTGGCTGGCAGTTTTCGGGGAAGGCTTAGTGGATGATAAAGTCTAATTTGGTATATCAGGTATCTGACTTTTGTTTGCCTTGGTATTAAATTTATGAAATTGTGCGGCCTCAGTTCTTTTTCTGATGCATTCAATTATAATGGAAACATTTGTTTATCCTCAAATATTAATTATTATTTTATACTTCTGCCAGGTTCAAAATCTCTGAAGTCGTTTTTTAAATACGGTACACGTTTTAAAAAACTTTTATGAAATCAGAAAACTTTGGGCCTGATAAGTAGTGTCTTCGATTTAAGTGCTTAGTATGCTAGTACGGTTTAGAGAATACCATACTGAACAAAATCTACTGATTTCTGCTAAATATTGTGCCCTTCATTTTATAATGTCTGTTGTCTCTAAAATTGTTTTTTGGCACAATCCTAATAAGGTTGGAATTGGTATCTTTCATGTATCCAATTTTAAATAACCTTGTGGATTAACACCCAGCTAAGAGCAAATATATGGCGATTTAAAATGTGTGCGATGGTGGAAATCATTTTGGAATGCCTTAGTGTGAATATAAACAGAATGGGTCCTTACTGTGTAGCTTATAATATTAGCCCTTGGGAAGTACCGTAGTGTTAGATAGGCCCTTATTTCTTACATCTTTTTCCTAACATCTTTAAAAGGTGGCTTTCTGGATAGCTGTACTTGCATTGACCCTGTTTCCTATCCCAGTGTTTGTCTAGAACACTGGACTATAGAGTTCTGGATTGTTACCCCTGACACTCCAGTAAAGACATCCAGTTATTGAAACATTCTATTTGTGGTCTTTTTTTTTAATGAGGTGGGGAGGCATTCTTAACTAATTATGAAGAAGATAAAATCTTTATTGTCTATTAAGCATATTGGGTCTTTAAATGTGCCAAGTGAAATAATTGAAAAATCCGAAATTCAAAGACATTATTACCGTTGTGGCAAATGCTTGCATTTTATTTTATTTCATTTTTTTTAAAAGATTTTATTTATTTATTTGAGAGAGAATGGAGAGAGAGCACATGAGAGGGGGGAGGGTCAGAGGGAGAAGCAGACTCCCTGCTGAGCAGGGAGCCCGATGTGGGACTCCATCCCGGGACTCCAGGATCATGACCTGAGCCGAAGGCAGTCGCCTAACCAACTGAGCCACCCAGGCGCCCAGATGCTTGCATTTTAAAAACAAACAGGGCTTGTAGCTCCTCTTTTAGAAATCAGACCGAATTCCCAGATCTTTAATATTTTGTACAATTTTTAATCTAAAAACACCGATCATTGTGTCGTTTCATAGCTCAGACGCATCCACTGGCTTCCAGAAGCATAAAAAAAAGTGCCATTAATTCAGAGTCCTTGACTAATTATTTGGGATGTTCCATTATCGGCGCCATTCCTATCTATCTATGATTTCATTACTCAGAAATGGGAGCCTTCTCTGTTCCAAGGCAAGCTGCTCTGCTCCTCCTTCTTCAAACATTGTGTGCTCATTTCTGGCTTTAAGCCTTTTATGTTCCAGGTGTGGTAAAATCACAGTGGTATTTACAATCTCTTCTACGCATTTTATTATTTTATTTACAGTCGCTCTTCTGTTCGTGTTTCCCAACTACACTGGAAGTGCACCTGGTCTTTCTTTTGGGTACCTGGGGCTGTAGCACACACTCTGTATACATTGTGAAACACTTAGGAAATACTGGTTAGTTAAATGACTGAGTAGTTAATTCAATCACGGTATTCCATATACTGCTTATTTTTATCCTTATAGGAAGGTTTTCTTCTTGGGGAAGTGAAAGGTGAAGCCAAGAATAGTATTACTGATTCCCAAATGGATGATGTTGAAGTTATTTATACAATTGGTGAGTCACTTATTTCTGTGTCTCTTATATTTGCTGCTTTATGCTTAACCGACTGAGCCACCCAGGCGCCCCTATTTGGTGCTTTATGCTGAACAGGATCAGCATAAATTAGTTTTTAAATTGTTTTAAGAAACAGATAAAACATTTTAAAGCCGATTTTATTGCATTCATTTCTCAATTAAAATTATGGCCATGGCCTGCTAAAGCAAGATAGAGTGTGGGACATAGAACACAGATAAGACTACTGTGGGGAAAAGGGTGGAATAGCGCCTGCTTATGTTTAAGTGGCACAGATATGGCCCAGCAAAAGGAGAAGGAACCAGCAAGTGAAGACCAAAAAAAGATAAAACAGTTCGGACAAAAACATGAAATGCTGCAGAAAAGTTGGAAGAGGAGAACTGAAAACACTGTGATTCGAGCACTGAAAACCGTAAGTAACTTGTGGAGTATAAGGCCAGCCTGCAGAGAGGTTGAGGAGTGGGTGGTGAAGCACCTGCAGGAGATGGCAGCTGTTCTTTCAGGAAGAAGGGAAAAGGGAGCTTTAAAATATATAGGGGGTTTTCTAATTACCTAATACATGATTTTTTCTAAGCATATTTTGAAAACAAAATTGGTGGTGTGCTTTATAAAAAATGTGGCATGATGACATCAGATTGTGTCATGACCACTTGCCCGTATTAAACAAGCCTCTAAGTATCACTGTTTTAACTGCATTGTATTCTCTATGTGATTTCAGCAGTCCTTTAAGTTTTTCATTTTCATAAATTATACCACAGTAAACATCCTTACACATTTTTCTACATTTATTAGGCATAGATTTCTGGGGGTGGTATTATGGTATCAGAGGGTTTGAGCATTTTTAAGATTCTTGATCTGTATTAGCAAATTGCTTTGCAGAAAGATTGTATCGGTTTATAGTCCTGTGTCACTTTTCGTTTGTCACTTTAAAAGGTTAAAAATGGAAGTATATATGTAAATTTACATCTGTATATAAATGTAGTATATATGTGTAGAGTAAATCTATAAAGTCAATTCAGTCTCATTAGAGTCTCTTCTGTGGCAACCCCTGTTTTACGAGTATTTTTTTTACTCATTAACAATACACATAATATAAATGTGTATATATTTTTATTTACACAAATGGGATTATACTATATGTAGATAAATATTTCCAAGATAATTATCTCCACTGATACTGTTCTATTAGTGCAGCATAGTATCAATGTGTATAGTTTGCCCTTCTTTCTAATGGATCTGTTACTTCTGTATCTGTATACTACAAATGAACGACTTCCTTTTTTTTTGTTAATACAAAACAGTATAATGATAAACACTTTATAGTGCATATATCTCTGTGCCTTGAGTCTATTGGAAAGTCAAATTCCTTGTAGATCATTGCCTTTGGAAAAGTCATGCTATTTTTTTTTTTTTAAGATTTTTTATTTATTTATTTGAGAAAGAGAGAATGAGAGACAGAGAGCACGAGAGGGAAGAGGGTCAGAGGGAGAAGCAGACTCCCCCACCGAGCAGGGAGCCTGATACGGGACTTGATCCAGGGACTCCAGGATCATGACCTGAGCTGAAGGCAGTTGCTTAACCAACTGAGCCACCCAGGCACCCAAGTCATGCTATTTTAAGACTCCTCCACAATATGTAAAAGTGCCTGGGTCCCCATACTGTTGCCACTACTAGATATTATCCAATTTTTTAATCTTTGCCAATTTGATAAATGAAAATAATTTTAATTTGTATTTCTTAATTACAAATGAAGTCGTTTATTTCTTTGGGGGCAGCTTTTTTTTTTTTGAAAAGGACAGGCCTGTTGCATGCTTCGACTATATTTCTGCTGAACTATTTTGCTTTTTCTTACTGATTTGTAATACCATGTTACAACTTAAGGTAACTGGTCTTTTGTCCTGTGTTACACATGTTTATACAGTCTGTAATTTTACTTTGTTAATGTTTTTTTCTGCTCAGACACAAGCTTTATTTTTTTTTTTAAGATTTATTTATTTGAGGGGGGAGGGGCAGAGGGAGAGAAAATCTTAAGCAGGCTCCATGCTGACACTCAGCATGGAACCCACCCAGGGCTTAAATTTCAGGACCCTGAGATCATGACCTGAGCGAAAACCAAGACTCAGATGCTTACCAACCGAGCCATCCAGGCACCCCCAGATACAAGCTTTTAAAAGCAAACCCTTGGGGGCATTTTTCCCCCTAATTGTAATTGGCATGCTGCTCAAAGTAATCAAACATATTTTAAGGCCTTCAATTAAGCAATCATTTATTGAGCAACTCCATTGTGCTGGGAACAATGCTAAGCATCAGGGTATTAGGCAAGTGCTGTAGGATTCCACTTAAGTATTTGCTCAGATTATTTTAAAATGTTGGATCACTAGATAACGAACAAGTAAAATCCAGAATCACCAAATTACTACACTGCTTTGGTTAATGAGATTTTCATCATACACATTTTCAAACATACACCAGCATATGTTTGGCCAGTTATCAGTAACAGACTATTTCTGTTAAGCTTTGTTTTGTTTTTCAGACAGGGATTTATCTGAGGATAACACATTTGCTAGAAAAATGTCTAAAGAGGATAATCACTTTTCCTTTTCTAAATAGACTGAATTATTTTTACTAATATACACATAAAGTTATTGAAATGGTGATTTCATGTAGTTTTCTCTTTGAAGATGGCACTTGCAGGTACAAATGTGCAGAGATGTCTCCAGCCTTCAGATATTTACTTGAAGAGATTGTTCAATAGCAGTTTGGTTTTTTTTTTTAAAGATTTTATTTATTTATTTGATAGAGCACAAGCAGGGGGAGCTGCAGGCAAAGGGAGAGGGAGAAGCAGGCTTCCCGCTGAGCAGAGAGCCCAATGTGGGGCTCGATCCCAGACCCTGGGATCACGACCTGAGCCGAAGGCAGACGCTTAACCGACTAAGCCACCCAGGCGCCCCTCAACAGCAGTTTGATAATGGGTTTCCTCATCTAGCTGAAGAGTCACAAATTCTCTGTAATCAAACTGATGTCTTTGACTTAAGTGACTAAAAAAATTTCTAGTAATCTGGGTAGGATCTGTGCAAAGAAGAGACACACAAATAGGACATGTCACAGGACTATCTGAAATAGATGATTGCTGTTACAGTGATCCAGTAAATGCTGTCTGGTAAAATTTGATTTTTGACACAAGGGACACTTAAAAGTGGGAAGCCCAGAAGAACTTGTTTTCTCTTTGTTGTTCTTAAAATAATCTCTGCACCCAATGTGGGGCTCAGATTCACAACCTTGAGGTCAAGAGTCACATGCTCTGCCTACTGAGCCAGCCAGGCACCCCAGAACTTGTATTCTCTTGACAAGTTTCTGTGTTAAAAGGTGTGGATGTTTCACTCCTACTGTTCCTTCAATAACTTTGAAAGATCTGAAAATTTGGAATGATAGAGGGAACACCATATTCATCTTGATGTTTCTTACAAGATTTATAATGGTGTCTTATGCAATAGAATTTCATCTCTTTCGCACAGAATTTAGATGTATTTTTGTTGACAAGAATAAAACTCACTTCCTAAAAGACACTGGGGTTTTTTTTTTTCTTTAGTCTGTAGTTAACATTGAAAAATCCTTTATGAAGCAACTACTTGGAATAACAAAAGATAATCCATTTAGCAGCTGTTGTTGTCAACTGGGTAAAATTAGAGCATAACCTTTTTAGAACTCAATGAAAATATAGCAATTGAAATTTATCTCTTGTGTTGCCATTCATTATTAAATCTGTTTAGAGGGAATGTAGTGTTCTAGTTAAGACTGAGGCACTGGGTTTGAATTTTGGCCCCACCATTCTCTCTGTTACCTCATCTTTAAATGAAAGGAATGATAAAACATCTGTGTCATAGGTTTGTTGTGAGAATTAAATGAGACAATGTTAAAGTACTTCTTTGCTCAATATATGCTATTCATATAAGAAGTCCTCAATATATGCTATTCAAATGATAATTAATGTAATCATAGCAAAAAATTCCTTTTTTCCAGACATCCAGAAATATATTCCATGCTATCAGCTTTTCAGGTAAGTAGTAAGAGCAAGTAAGTGATCCATTATGAAAATTACTCTCTGCAAATGAAGTAATTTTTAAAACAAAACATCTATCAGTTTATACATGGTGGTACTGATGAAAATGAAAAGACTTCTGAAAAAATACCTGAAAATTCACTTGTTCATTTCAACCCTAATAGTTCTTTCTCTGTATTTATATGCTTGCTTTAGCTGGTCTCCACTGACTCTCCCAGGTACCAGTTTACCTGGAGGATTGCTTTTCTCACACTCAGAGTCACCTCATTGCATATTATAAGCTCAGTGACACGTTCTCATACATCAACAGCAGCCCTTTTTTCTACTCTTTTATTCAGCTTATTTCATCATTTGTTTTCTCACTTACTACATATTTAATGTAATCTTTTGTCTGTTAACTGGTTAGGTTCTTTATCCAGCCTGCTTCCTACTGCCTTCCTATGGTGAAAATTTGTGTTATTAGTCCTACAGATAATAATAGTACTGCAGCCCTAATAGGCTATGATATTTTTAAAAAACTTTTCATTGAGGTATAATATATATAAAAAAGTACACGCATAAATTAATTTTCATAAACACCTGTAACCACAATATGGTGTAGTTTTAACTTTATGATTTATATAAACTGTACTTGAAAAATCAGCATTACTATCTTAGGTCTATTGTATGTACACTAAGGTTGTGTAAGAATCGCAGTGGAGCAAACGGTAAAGGTGAAAAAGATCTGTGGTTGGGGATGACAGAAATCAAGGCTTCGTGTGGTCTTAAACTGCTGTACCAAAAAGAGAGAGATCTTGAACAGTGTTTTATATACAATGACATACAAAAATACTTGTGGAATGAGGGATTCTTGGTGGAGAGTCTTAAAAAGTACTTCCTTAAGGGACTCTGGACCAGTAAAAGATAAGGAAGGAAGAGTGAAAAGAAAAAGTGATTCAAAATCTACTGGCAACTGTCTTAAATAATTATACCAACTTAATAGTCTTAGAATGGAGGAAGCCCATCTGATCCAATGATGATCAGCCTTTTAGCCTCAGCCTTTTAGCTTTACAAGATAAAGGGGAGGGAAGCATAAGGAGAACCACCTGAAAAGGCTGTCATTCAGTAAAGTTTTCTACACACTTCATTTTCCCTTAGTAAAACAATAGGCCTAAAAAGTTCATGTTATAACCAATGCCACAGAACTGGTTAATGGTAGGGCACAAACTAGAAGAATGAGGATTTCGTCAGTTCTAATCCAACAGCATACCATGGTGTATCTTGTGTTTTAAATAATACAGGTAAACATGTTAAAGCCTTTTGGTACCATATTTCTTGGGAGTCCCAGTTGGTTAAGCTTTAATGCTCAGTTTTACGTGCTAATACAGAGGGTGCCAAAGTATGGCCCATTTTTATAGGGCCGTCTGTGAATAGTTAATATATTTTTTAAGGGTTGTTAAAAAAAAAAAAAGAGGGAAGCCTGGGTGGCTCAGATGGTTAAGCATCTGCCTTTGGCTCGGGTCATGATCCCAACATCCTGGGATCGAGCCCTGCATCGGGCTCCCTGCTCGGTGGGGAGCCTGCTTCTCCCTCTGCCTCCCTTTCCCCCTGCTTGTGCTCTCTCACTCTCTGTCAAATAAATAAATAAAATCTTAAATAAAAAATTAAAAAACAAAACAACAGAGGAACATGCAGCAGAGACTGTCCAGCAAAGCCTAAAATACTTACTCTCTGGCTCTTTACAGAAAAGTTTGCCAGCCCTTTTCTAATAACATTGTTTCTCAAAGTTTTCCATTGAATAACACCGAATCACTTACCAAGAATCTGGAGGAAACATCTGGAAAACAATCCACTGAAGCCTAAAACTCACTTAAAAAATTACACAGTTTAACATGAATTCTGCATAATATCTTTCTATATAAAAATGGCCCCACTTCCCAGGAATTTCACATAAAATCAGTGTTTGCTCGGAGTGTACACTGTTATCCTGTTGTTTCTTATATACCCAGTGTATTGCCTGATGCACCAGTTTGAGAAGTGGGAAGTGGACCATGCTAGAGAAATACAGGAATAAACTCTTGTATTTAGAGTATTCATGTTAGAATAATAAACAGGTAAAGTGGAGGGATCTGTTTGATCTTTTGAAACCCCCTTTTGATAAGTGGAAGACTCCATTTTGTCTATTTTCCCATTAAAATTTTTTGATGGAAAATTTTTCATGTAAGTTTGTAAGTTAAAAAAAACATTGCTTATTAGGATATATTTTTTTCAGTTTGACATAACTAAATTTTTTCAGTACAGAATAGAACTACCAGTAAAAGCCTATTACAGTGAGTATTATTTATAAAGGATTTTGCGTAACAGGTATTTCACTATCATAGGAAAGAATATTGTTGATCTCAGTGAATGTTAAAAGGAGGAAAATATCTGCAATCCCTGTTATTGAAGAAGGAAGAAAGCTGGAAGTAAACACTTTAGAATCTTTTAGAATTATCTTTCAATTCTCCCTACATCTTTGACATTCCAACAGAACAAAGACCACTAAACTAAACTAACATCTAAACCCCTTTCCCCCCGCAAAAAAAAAAACCCAAAACCAACCAGCTCCTGAAATATATAGCTTTTGGAATTAGCAATGAATAAACTATCTTTTTGTGTTGTGTTTCATTACTCATACATTCTTTTGTATGTATCAATATTTTTAAAAACGTTTTAATAAGTGAATTGTGAACTGGCTATGTAGACTTTAAAACTTCTTAAATTTAATGGATAGTTTGTTTTGTTTTAGGCTTAAAAAATGTGATGCCCAAACTTATTTCTTGAAATTTCTCCACTCCTTCTCCTTTCTCGTTGCTTATGGGCCTCATATTTCAACCACTTTAAGTCTGTTAATTTGAGAAATTTCTCTATTATTTTTAGAATTTCATCTGACCAGCAAGTGGGTATATGGATTTTGGTTGGGTAAGGAGTAACTAAAATTAAAAGTGCTAGTAAAATCATATTTTTAGCCTATTTGTAATGCCTTTAATTTTGGCTTTTACAGCTTTTATAATTCTTCTGGTGAACTAAATGAGCAAGCACTGAAGAAAATATTATCAAGTGTCAAAAAGGTATTCCCTGACTTGCCTTTTGTTTTTTGTTTGTTTGGTATTACATGTATTATTTTCAGCTCTGAAAAAATGTGTAATACTTTAACAACTTTCAAGCAGCACTTACTTGTCTTCACAATATCCTATAAGCAGGTGAGGAAAGGCTTGTTCTTTCTGGAAATTCAAAGTTTTGCTCTGAGAACAAAACTAGTTATTAAAAGTATTAATCTTGGTCTCATCCTCAAATATTTTAATTAGCATTGATCTCTTCCTCTTCTACATTCCTACCATACCCCTTTCAGTGCCATTTATTCTAGGACCTAATTCATTACTGTTCTTTTACATAGCTGCAGTTACTAGCACTTCGCTATACAGAACCTCATTGGAACCCTCCACACATCGTGGTGTTTAGTTAAGACTTGTTGAGTGATCAAAATAGGGTTTTTTTCCCCAAATACAAAATGGGGCGGGGGTGGATACTTTCTTCTTAAAACATTTTGATTTTTGAGTTGAGAATAAAAGTAGATTCAGTAAAAGGAGTTTCTTTTAAAAACCATCCTTTGATGAAAATGCTTTGAGCTTCCCCCCCAATTATATTTGGATATTTAAAATGTACCTGTAAAAACGTATTAGTTTTAAAAAGAAGAGAACTCATTTTAATTTCCTCTAGTGCAGATATAAAACTTAGTTGCTAAAGTTGTCACACACAGATCTCTAAGCAAAGTGGTTGTTTTTCTCTTATAATTATTAAGTTCTCTGTGAATGAGATGTATTTTTCCAGTTTAAAAAAATTTAGTAATAACTAACAAATTTGTTCAGCAGATGTTACAGTTTATAAAACCATTTCATATGATCTTACTTAATTTTGAAACCCAACTCTGTGGGGTAGGTGATAACATTCCCATATAAATTTCAGTTAAAAGTTGTTGGGTTCAGTTTACTTATTTAGCAAACCAAATACCCAAACAGAAGTTAACTTGTTTTCCTTGACATTTTCTTCATTTAAATTTTGACTAAAGACTAAGATTCTAAAATAGCAAAAACCATAAAGAAACTAGAGGAAGTTAGGAATTTTTTTCTCTCTATTGACTAAAATAGTAGCCACAACTGGATGGAAAGTAATTTGACTGTAAGTCAGTTTGCATACTTTAAAAGTAAAGTGTAGGGGCACCTGGGTGGCTCAGTGGGTTGGGTGAGCCTTTGGCTGGGGTCATGATCCTAGGGTCCTGGGATCGAGCTCCACCCCATCGGGCTCCCTGATTGGTGGGGAGTCTGCCTCTCCCTCTGCCCCTCCCTCCCCCAGCTCGTGCTTCCTCGCTTTCTCGCTCTCTCTCAAACAAAATCTTTAAAAAAATAAATAGAAAAAAAAATAAAGTGTATACTTAAGTTTGTGCTTTGTTTATAAATTTAAGAAAGCCATTTTTAAGGCTGTCAACTTTATTGCTTAATTATGATAGTAAGACCCATAGTAATTCTAACGATTAAGGTATATACCTGATTTTTTTTTTTTTTTTTTTTTTTTTTTTTCTCAGGCTGTGGTTGGTTGGTACAAATTCCGACGTCATTCAGACCAGATCATGACATTTAGAGAGAGACTGCTTCACAAAAACTTACAAAATCATCTTTCAAGCCGGGAACTTGTTTTTCTACTGTTAACACCAAGTATAATAACAGAAAGCTGCTCTACTCATCGGCTGGAGCATGCCTTATATAAACCTCAGAAGGGGTAAATGTTGGCCAGTCACTGGCAATTTAAGTTAATAGAAAAATATACCCAATGTTTTCATTGTACTTTTTGCCTCTTACCAAATATTTTCAAATATTGTTGCATTAGATTGTCACAGTAACACTCCGAAGTTGGTCTACCATGTTTCTTTATAGATGGGAAAATGAAGGTTAGATAAGGAAATTAGAAGCCTAGTATGGAACGATGACGAGTGTTTTTGACACCAAGGATTGTTACTATTTACCATAAGGTGGAAAACTGGTTGCTAAAGGACATAATATGGAACTAAGCCTCAGTACTTGAGCAGGTTTTCTCTAACCTCTGCAAGGAAGAAAGGTCATTCTTGATGGCCCACCAAAATGAGTTAACGCCCCCCCCCGCCAAGTTATAGAACATTCTCATGGAATATGAGGATTAAGTAAAAGAGTACCAACTAAGACTAATTTTATTATTCATGGAAGACGGCTAAAATCTCAACACTACTGCCTATTTTTACATGTTAAGATAGCTATTAAAGTATTATTTTCACACAACTATCTTACACTGTGCACATTTAACCACTTTTAAAAGCCACTTGCCTCAAGTCAGTAAATTCTATCTCAGGTAAGTAGTATGGAATGGTTTTTTTGTTTGTTTTTTAATCTTGTAGGGGAAAGGTACTCTGTACATAATATATATAAGTATATATAGGTATAATAGGTGGATGCTAATATTTCACTTTAAGTTTATACTTTAAAATTTCATTTCTTCAGACTTTTTCACAGGATACCATTAGTGGTGGCCAATCTGGGCATGTCTGAACAACTGGGTTATAAAACCATGTCAGGTTCCTGTGAGTCCACTGGTTTTAGCCGAGCAGTAAAAACACACAGGTGAGATTCTTCAACTGCTTTCCACTGAACTTACTCCTATTCATTTTTTAAAATTAATTTTTTATTACATAGAATAAAAATGAAAGGAAACTAATGACCACCTTACTCAAGTAAAACAGACTTTTTAGTTTCTCCATATTTCCTTCTAGCACTTGTTCATTTATAACATACAAGGTGGGGTATTTTATATCCTGTATGTGTCCTCATATGTATTCTAAGAATAAGTAGCTAGTCTCAAAATAATTTTCTAAGGCAGCAATTTAGATTATAAAGGCATGAGGGCGCCTGGGTGGCTCAGTTGTTAAGCGTCTGCCTTTGGCTCAGGTCATGATCCCAGGGTCCTGGGATCGAGCTCCACGTCGGGCTCCCTGCTCCACGGGAAGCCTGCTTCTCCCTCCCCCACTCCCCCGATTGTGTTCCCTCTCTCGCTGTGTTTCTCTCTGTCAAATAAGTGAATAAAATCTTAAAAAAAAAATAGATTATAAAGGCATGAAATTAGACTGGATATTAAGTAATGACAAAAATAGGAGGCTTTAGCCAAGACTCATCCTGTAGGGTGCTGAGCTGTAACTTTTTTGTGTTCATTAAGGGAATAGTTAATGTCAGAAATAACACTGGTACTATAGAGTGCTTACTCGAGTGGAAACAGAATAAGGGACTAGATTTTTATTTATTTTTGTGTCCCCACAAGGGTTAACCATTTTATAGAAACTGAATACCATATTTCACTGATGCTGAGATGCAGTTTTACATCTCAAATTGGGGTATTTTACAAACTGTGCCTTAGCCCTTTTTTTTTTTCCTTTTTGGTATGTAAAATAATGTTGCCTCTTTCAGTGATGACTTAAATTCAATAAAATATTTTTAAAATTGACTGGTCCCCATTGCCAAGAAAGAAACCTTTTTCTCCCCCTCTCTCCTTCAGTCTTTACTTTTACTTAACCTCTTTTGAGTCCTGGCAATAGTCCTTAAGAGGCTTCAAAGTCTGCTAATGTGAAGATATATAAACTAAGTTTTCTGATTGGTTTTGCTGTGAAACAAGTAGGTTGAGAAAATATGGTCCCTACAAAACCAGTAAAAAGAATCTTCTGTTGTTTCTCAACTACAAATAAGTGTTTCATTATAGCATTAAAATGACTTCTATACATTTGCCTGACAAAATGGTAATTTTTCCAGCTCTGAATTTTTTACAGAAGATGGATCTTTAAAGGAGGTACATAAAATAAATGAATTGTATGCTTCTTTACAAGAGGAATTAAAGGTAAGTTAACATATCAAACACTTAAAAGACTACTTCTGGAGTTCATATCAAATTGATAACTGAAATCTTTTAGGGATAACTTGACATTTGATTAGGTTTATATTTTTGTAGTAGTTTAGGTTTGGTAAGACCTCAATCTCAGTGGCCTACAAAAGCAAAAGTTCAGTTTCATTCACATTATATCTTGGCTGCAGCTCTGCTCTTGTTCTAAGTGCCATCTTCATTCTAGGACCCAGACTGAAGGAGTAGCCCTTATGTGGGACATGCTCTTCTCATGACAAGGGAAAAGAGCAAGAAAGCTGGTAGACATTCACAACAGCTCTTAAAAAACAACTCAGAGCCAGCATGTCACTTCCACTCACATTTCATTGGCAGATTATATGTCCCTATTTCATGGCGGTAGACAGGGATATATAATCCTTTTACAGGATAAAAAGGGAAGCAGTATTTGAGAACAGAATAATCTACCACGGTACTGAATTTGGTCTCATTGAATCAGCTAGGTAGTAGACGTCAAGATGGGACTAGCCATGTAAGAGATTGATTAGGCCTGAGAAGGATAAAAGGGGAGGAGCAAGAGCGGGCAGAGAGACTTGTAATGCTGAGTCTGACACCTGAGAAAGGGGACAGGAAGGACGACAGTTGGGTAGAGACAACTTTAGACTGCAGGGCCGGAGTGGTTTCAGCCAGGCTGATGGGAGTCTCAGCACAAGTTTTCCCACTGGAATGGATCTGTACTAATACCTCACTGTGCTCAGTCAGTTAAGAGCAGCCTCTGGCTTCAGTAGTGGACCCAAAAGGATGGTAGCTGGGGCTGTTAGTCAACTATGCTTCCTCCAAATGGAGATCTGGGTAGTATATTCCATGGCCACCATACTCATCAACATGGCACATTAAGAGAAGTAGGGTTAATACATTTTACACTACTAATATTGCTATTTTTTAATGTGAATGATAATACGGGAATTTTAGAAACTAGAGAAACATCCAGAATCCCATCATTGTAACATAACCATTTACACTTTGCCATATTTTCTAATTTTTTGTATATATGTATAAAGTACATACATACTTTTACATAGTTGACAGTGATGGGGACTTACAAATTTGTGTCATTTGCTGTCATTAAGCATTTTTCATTTCAAAAGCATTAAGCATTTTTGCTACATATTCTTTAGTTCTTTTAATGGTAGTGTATTTCATATAGCAATATATTAGAACTCTTGTGTCAGAGTACTAACTCAGGCTAAAATAGGGGATGTAGAGGTATATTACAGGAACTGTAGGCAGAAAGCAGCTGAACTCCAGGAAGGAATTGGAACCAGGAGCCAGAATGTCATCGAACTTGCTTTTTCCCTTTGTGTCTGCACACTGCCTTCCTTCATAGTACCTACAGATCTGTTTGTTCATTCACTGGCTAACCAGAGAACAGCATTTAGATCTGTTCAGAAGACTGGGATTTGCCAGCTGGTTATGTGGTATCTCTGCTTGGGTCAGTTAGGGTGGAAGTTGGTAAAGGGGTTACTGGTGAACTTTTATGGCATGTTGGACAAGATCATGAGAAATAGGCTGGGCAAATATCCTAAAATGTATCCATTTTAAAACTAAGCATGAAGAAGTAAACTAACATTCTAAAATAAGATGTAACAATCTGTTACCCTATAATTGGAAATAAGTTACTTTTGATTTGATACTAAGAAACATCATCTTACATAAATTTTTATTATTTACTTAAAATATATTCCCAAAATGAAATCACGGAGTCCAAGGGTATTTTAACTAGTACTTAAAACTGATGACAAGTAAGGCCAGTCTGCTTTTCAAAAGTTGTTTCTTTTACACTAATTAAAAATCTGTAATAGTTTTTTCATAACAATAAAAGTTACTTTTCCTTATTGTCAGTTTCTTAATGTTAAATGTTTGCAGTAAGTAAGCATCTCTCAAAATACTACAGTATTTTTTGTTCCAAAGTGACTGAAATATCTTTTTTATTTCTGTGTATTATCAAGCAGGTATCACTGGTGTGATAAAACTGTGTATAAATGGAAAGTTAATACATCTGGAAAGCATTTTATAACCTGTAAAGCACCACATAAGTGCTTGTTGAGTTCCTTCAGAAAATAGCAAAATAAAGTATTTATAAAGGCTAATAATACTTGATACTGTGTACCACAAAGGACTGTCTATCATTTGTGAACCTAGCTGTAGTATACAACTTGGATTTTGTCTGTGCCCTTATTATATTTTGCAGAGTATATGCAAGAAAGTAGAACACAGTGAGCGAGCGGTAGAGAAACTACTAAAGGACGTAACCAGATTGAAATGGGAAATTAAAAAAAGAAAACAGGCACAAATTCAAGCAGCACGTAAGTAAAAAGTTCACACATCACTACCTTCTGTGCTTTTAAAAAAAAACTCACTATGTGAATTCTGCTTTAAAAGAAATTCTCACTGATGTGAATTATGGATGAGCTGGCTCTACTAACTGATCATCTACCGTAGGGTTAAAAATAATTGTTTTATTAATACTCTTAAATCCTACTAAGTAAAGAACTTGGTATTACTGTAGCTATACTATATTGTTGATATTAAAAAATACAACTTAAACTTTTAGAATACAGTGGCATACAAATTAGTATTTGGGATTATGCACACCATTTTTCTCAATTTAGAGGATCTGGTATAACTGTTCAGTTAAAGTCTTTTTGACTTTACTAACAAATAGATTACAAAAGCTTTGTAGGACAAATATGGTATGTTGAACTATTGTTTTATTTTGTTTAGGAGAGAACATCGAAAAAGACCCTCAGGAGAACATTTTTCTTTGTCAAGCTTTACAGACCTTTTTTCCAGATCATGAATTTCTTCATTCATGTGTTATCTCCTTGAAAAATAGGCATATTTCTAAAAGTAGCTGTACTGCCAACCACCAGCTCAATGTGATAGATAACCTGACCTTAATGGTAGAATACACTGACATTCCTGAAGCTAGTCCAGCTAGTGGTGGGCCTCAAATGATTAAACGTAAAGCTTTAGATACCGATGATGGATGGCAATTCAAGAAGTCACGGCCGTTAGAGATACAAAACAAACCATCTAAAACAGATACTGATAGTAGTAATCAAGAAAAAGCATCCACAATGAGCAGCCCCGAAACAGATGAAGACATTGAAAAAATGAAGGGTTGTGGTGAATATCCACAGTCTCCTACATTTTGATCATTTTAGGCCAAAAGGACATTTTTAATTGGCTGAAGGGTAAAGCCATTTGTATTGTTTTTACTATGTTCAGGTATTTTACAGTAATACTTAAGTTCTAGTACATTTATTTTTTAAAGCACTTTATTTTAAAACCATACCTTTTTTTGTCCCCCTCCTTTGTTAAAGATTTTAAGTAATTCCTATACCCAACATGGAGCTTGAACCCACAACCCCAAGATCAAGAGTCGTATGTTCCACCAACTGAACCAGCCAGGCGCCCCCCCTTTTTTTGTTGAGGGAAAAGCTTAAATGATACTCTTTTAAACTTCTGTAGCATTCTTTAGAATTGGAAAAGAAAGACTAACCTTATTTTCACAATAGAAAAAAAAGATGTCTAAAGTTAATATGAAATGTATTTCATTTTTATCTAAGGTACAGTAATTCCTGCTCCTTAAGTTACAATAAATGGCTAGGGTTGCCAGATAAAATCCTGGACAACATGCAGTATTAGGCATTGAAAACTTACTCATTGTTTAAATGAATAATTTGAATTGGAGTTCAAATTTAATCACATGTCCTATATTTCTATTTGCTAAATCTGGCAGTTCTAATTATGGCAAAACTATAATGTGGCACAAATATCTCTCCCTAGTCTAGAGTCTTCTACACAGAATTGAGTGAATCCAGAATTTGAGAACAGAACAAGCCTGATAATGCAGCGTGTCTGAGATCAGCAGCTGGTCAAGTAGCTGAAAAGGCCAATTAAAGTGGGACTCAAAAATGGTACATATGTGTATAGGTATACATATGTCTATCACCGAGATTTCATTTTAACATAAAGCAGAATTGTACATTCATTTGCCAACCTTTTGTTGTAGGATTAGGAACTTAGATTCTGAGTATGGTGGTGTTCCAGTATTAATCACATCCATTATTTAACCTTTACAATTCCCAGTTTTAGTTTCTTTAAAGTGAAGAATTTAAAGAAAGTTGAAAAGCAACCTGAGTACAGAATGCTTTTTTTTTTTCATTTCACAGCACCCTCCTACTTCCAACCTTCTTCAGCTGTCCTAACCACACCTAACTTGACAACTGTTTTCTTAAAGCTATTTTTTTATCTTTCAAAAGCATTTACTTCATTTTCATTGCAACAATAACTTTAATGCTCATACTTGATCAATACAAAGACAAAACTAACACAGGTCTGGGAACAAAATAACTGCCTCTTGGCAATGCAAAACTCAACAGGTTTGAAGAGTATGGGCTTCAGTATGATTTTGAGGATGTAAAGCTCCATTTTAATCCAGTGAATTGGTTAAGTGGAAGTTGGCTAAGAGAGCTTTTACTGTTTTTTGTATTTGTCTTTTCCATAATTTTGAGAATTTTCCACAAAGCCTATACATCATATGAAGCCTTCATGTTTTACTCACTGGATGAAATGCTGAACACACACTTTGACCATTGCTTTTCCATTTGCTACTTCCTAAGTGACAGAACAAATTTATAGCTACTATCAAAACTATCTTTTATCTATTTTAACATGCATTAGTTACCATGGGGTGCTAATGAAGCCCATATAACAGCAGGGATGTTCTGTACAAATAATGAGTTTCTGTTGGGATCGTTTAACTGGTTACCTGAGAAGCACTGCTGTGTACCACCACCAGGCAGAGGGAGGGGTAATAGGTTGGCAGTCTGAAGCCTAACTTAAAAATAACCACAAATGGGCGCCTGGGTGGCTCAGTCAGTTAAGTGCCTGCCTTCGGCCCAGGTCATGATGCCAGGGTCCTGGGATGGAGCCCTGTGTCCGGCTCCGTGCTCTGCAGGGAGTCGGCTTCTCCCGCCCTCCACCCCCACCCCCCGCCACCTTGTGCTCTCTCGCATGCTCTCCCTCAAATAAATAAAATCTTAAAATAACCACAAACATCACTAAAGCATATAGAACATCACATAGAACATAGATAAGGACTAAATGCAACCAACAAATGAACTGCTGGAGGAGGTTATTGAGAACACAAGACTGCTGGTTGACCTGCCAGCTGGACTGAAGCAAAGGTTCCCGACCCACTTCCGTCCTTGGAGTGTACATTTTGCCTAACTTCCCACAGTGGGAGCTGTTCCAAAGACATAGCCTTGAGAAAGTAAGGTGTTGACACCATATGGATTGTATGTGTGACTGAACCCAGTTAAGGCCTCAGTAAAAACTTTTAAGACTAGCAGGCGGGTGCAGAGATGTACTTGCCTTGTGGCCACCCAAGACAAACTTCCTAAGTAAGTTCCCTTATTACTAAGCCTGCCACCTACAAATAGGGAGTTGCCTGCCTCTTCAGTCTCTCCCTGCCCTCCATGTACCAGTTTATGAACCAACAGATAAAACATGCTAGACAAGGAACTGCAGAACCAATAAGTAACCAACATATGCGAATGTCTTCTGAAGACAATAGCTTAAGATTTTTCAAAGACTGCTTACAAGAAACAGGCTTTCATCCAAAGTTAAATTTGCTAAAACACTATAGAGAGGTAATATATTTCACTTACACTTGTGCACAATGATCCATTTTCTTTGAAGAAAGAAATGCTAAATTTTCCATCAGAGAAGCTTGCTGAGGTCCGTACTAGCTTAACTTCCATAAATAAGTTTGATGACCCAAGTTTCAGGGTATTAAATGAAGGAAAAGGGTCCTCATAGATCATTTTTCCCCAATTATTCTCATCTTTTGGCAATTAGTTTGTATCACTGGGGTAAGATAGTTCTAGACCGTTTGCCTATGGATCATTTTAAAATATGCTACCAGTTTTTAGATAGACTAGCCCAGGAGTAAATCTGAGGTCCTGCAACTGCACCACTATCCATCCCCATGTAACATCTCTACAAAGGGAAGACCCACTGTCCTAGCCAGGCATACTTCTATTTACTAGTTAGAAAATCTGAGCAATTTTAAATCCACACCCTGCCACATGGAATTTGTACATAATACAAGCATTCCACCTTCATGCACCCATATCCCTAAAATCCCATTTACAAGACAGAATCTGGGCCTAAAGTAAAATTCCAATAGAAGTCATCCTTTCCATATTTTTTTTTTTTAAAGATTTTATTTATTTGACACAGAGAAATCACAAGCAGGGGCGTGGGGGGGCTGGGTTACAGAGGGAGAGGGAAAAGCAGGCTCCCGGACAAGCAGGGAGCCTGATGTGGGGCTCCATCCCAGGGCCCTGGGATCATGACCTGAGCCAAAGGCAGACGCTTAACCCACTAAGCCACCCAGGCGCCCCCATTCTTTCTATATTTTAAATCCCCATGAGTTTTATGAGCTAACTGGGGACCATCCTACAGTACCAGTTTTTTAAAATTTGTATGTATATAAAATAATGAGTATTAACATTTTAAATAACTCATGTTCTTTAAAAGTGAAGAGGAAGCTTTACTCACTTTTTCCTTGTAAGATTTCAATTATTAAGAATTTAAAAGACTTTAGTTTGAAAAGATTTAGCCGGTTTTCTACCCAAAGGTTATTAAATCTTGTAATTTGAGTCAATATCAGAATCATACAACCATTTATTGTAAAATATGTTTATTGATGGATGTTAAGACTCCTATAATTTATTCCCGATACTTGATGTTACAAACTTTAGGGTCTTTGAGATATGCAGGATCCTTGTATGTAACTGGCATAAACCCTGTAAAAGACAATGAAAGTGCTTCACAAAAGATAATGAGCAAACTTTTGACTGGCCCAATTCAGTTTTTCAGGTGCTCTTACCCATTATTTGAGCTCTCTTAATTGCTTTTGTGATTTCTTTCTGTTTCTTCCCACAAAGACCTATAAAAAAATGCTTTCATATTCATAAAAAATGTCAACACTCAAAATGCATAGCAACTATCTTAAGTCAAGGAAAGGTTGGAAAACCTATAAATAGCCAGGCAGTAAATATCTTAGGCTTTGCGGGCCATACAGTCACTGCTGTAGCTCACAAAGCAGCCACAGGCATTACGTAAATAAGCTACTTACAAAAACAGGTGGCAGATCTAACTTGGCCTATAGACAGTAGGCCCCAGTTCAAATAAGTAGTCTAGGAACGATTACAGTATACTCTAAAACATTAACACAATTTTCTAAAGCCCTAATTTTCTACAGATTGCCTATAGTTAACTCTGAGCATAAGAAGACATGTAAAATAATAATCCTTTTGGGCTACAAAGAGGCTTTCTCAAAAGTACCTCTAGTATCTGGTCTACTAGCGATTTATAGCACAACTTGAAAATTTGACATTTCTCTTAAATAACAAATAGATTTGTATAATTTTTTATAAGTTGCTATAATAGAAAACAAAATACCTGTTATGTGCCTTCCATAAATGCATCCAGTAAATGGAGAAATAAACTGGGACAAAAGCTGTTTTGAGTTATATTTGGAGAAGAAAAAAAATTTGTATCAATACATTTGTTCAACCTTGATTATGTAAATTTAAAAAATTATATATCACTGTCCAGTTATGTAAAGGTTTATGAATAAATTTCAAACTTCATAAAATATAAATACTGAACTATGCTCATTCTATTAATAGGTCATTCTGTTAAGTGAAAAAAGTGATTACTAAGTTAACATCTCTTATCCAGTATGTTGAAACAGATTAATGTACACATTTTTTTCAGTGCTAAAGCTGTTTTCTTGAACTTTTCCACAGATGCTTCCTAAAATACTGTTGCTTGTAATAAGGATTTCATCCTAAGCATTTCATCTGTCACGATAGGCTATCACACTGTATCAGACTACAGTGCGGTCTTCCAAGAGGTACAGGTCCATCAGGCCACTTGTCATAATTTACGTTTTATTAAATTCTTTAGTACTTTTCAGGTACCAGGCATTGTTCCTGGCACTACACATAATCCTTCTGATAAGATGCATCTTTAAACTTCTTGGTTTTCACTATCGCTTTTTGCTGCTGTCAATATACTTCACTACAGCACCATTCTCTCCCCCAGATTTTCCACTTTTAATCTGCTGAGCCCTAAAACAGATAAAATTACATTTAAAGCAGAGATATTGGTAGTGTTATTAGTACAGAGACCAAATTCACCAGAGGAGATTTTTCCGAACTATTCAACTCCACCAACTAAGAATCACTGCATAGTGAGCTACTGGTGACCTCCAGGGCAGACAAGAAAACACTGACCTGAAATAATAGCAGATGAGGGAGAGCTAAAGGGCTCTCATTAGAATAAAACAGAGATGACTTATACATAGAAAACCAGATTTGAAATTACGAAGTCCCTAAAACAGGTGCCTTTACACAAAGCCTGTTAGCTATGACTAACAAAGGAGCAAATCCTAAAATCAAATATCACAGTGAAGTAAAACCGTATCTCACCTGTACATTCTTATAATCTACACGTTTTCCACACAAGATACATTTTTTAAGAGGCTCCTTATAAGGATTTTCCATTGGAACGGGCTAAAATAAAAAAAGATACAGTTTGATGTGTTAAATTAAAAAAAATTAAATCTTAAGGTTACCACATTTAAATCTATCCAAAGGATTAGTTGTACCTTTCTTACTATGAAAAAGAAAAAATACAACAGCTTGGCTTATAAAGAAAAATCAGTGTTTCTGAAAAGGAGTCACCATTTTAAAGATTTCAGTGTGTTCATACATATTTTGTACAAATACTCTGGTTTGGCTAAGGAGGAATTAAATCATGGAGAAGGATTCTGGGATAAAATACAATCCTTGGAGAAAACAAAGGTCTATGGGAGGATAACTTTTATGGTCCCAGATTGCTTTATACATTTATGTCAGCCTTTTTGTTTTCTCTGTCTTCATTACTGCCTCTAATGCTTCTGCCACATGCCTCCCTTCTATAATCAGTACACTGACGTCTCCAATCAAGAGATTCTTAATCTAGAAATGGCTTTGAAGTCCATAATCCACTGTAGTTGTATGCAAAATTTCAAATGAAAGAGACTGTGAGCTTTTTTTCTGAGAGCCCGTATTTCATTAGAGCCTCAGGGGAATTTTATGACCTAGAAAGAGCTCTAGTAATTTCCTTTACACCCTTGAACTATGGTGTGCATTAGATGACAAGAAGGATGCTCAAGGGACTAGAGGACTTCTGTGTTTTCCAACTCCTCAAACTTTCTTAATCCAATTTACATGCAGTTCACTTATAATGACTATGTTCCTTCTTTACACTGCGCTAAGTGCTTTGTATGGTTTGACTAGTGTCAAATCATTTTTGCAGGTAGCAAGAAAACTTACACTGGCTAAGCCCAATGCTAGTACTTGAAACCCATAAAAATACACCTACCGGCTAAAAGAAACTATTTAATGTCCTGCTATAAAACTTCAATTTTGATCATTCATTTACTAAAACACCCACTCCCCACCCCCAGTAATGAATAGGACAAAGAATTGAATCTGAAATGGGGAAGAGAACCAAGGTACAGGTAGACTTTGTAATCCCTCTGTTGGATATTCTGTAATTACCGCACCCACCAAAACTATCTTTTTTAGTCTCCAAAGCACATATCCTTAAATTTAAGATCTAAGAAGAAAAGTACAGTGTTACACGAGCGATGCTTCTTGTTAGGACTCTAGGAATTCTCTTACTTCAAAGCTCACTTAAGTAACAATTCAATGAATTATAATTTTCAAACTCAAACTGATTATCATCTTAATCATTCTGTCGTATTCAAATAGCTAAAATATAATAATTTGGTCACATTTGCAAATGCCTTAAAAAGAAGAAAAAAAGTCTTACCAGGTCCTCATTGCCGGCTACGTGCTTATATTGTGAACAACTCCTCCACAGCACTGCAATTAAATAAACAGCAACAAACCAATTCTTTTTGTCAGCTCAGCAACTAAAGATTTTTGTTTTTATGGAAGCAGGATGAATCAAGGGATAGAACATAAAGGTTTTTATATTCACATACAACGACTGGATAAAAACCTTGTGAGGCAGAATAAGATTTAAGATGAATGTGCTTTCCAAGGCTTTGGGGAAAGGACATGTATTTCTCCACCCCTACAAACCTCTCACCTGTCTTCATGAAATTTATTTTCCCCTCACTCCATGGTTAGAGACAGATTTTAAGGCAAACACTTAAGGGGAAAGCAGTAGAAAGGCACTGTTATACCAAAGGGAAAATGTAACAGACCCCCTAAAGAGTAGTTATTGACAGAGAAGATAAAATGCAGAAATGATAGACTCGAGAGCCCATGTCACAATTTTGCCCTGATCTGGGACATTAGACAACTCCTGTAATGTACTACCGGGTGACTCTGGAAATGTCCCTTCCTTACCAACTCTACATGGAGTTCTCAGGCAAGTTAAGTCCCTGCCTCTTTTTGAGAATCACGCGATCACTCTCTCTGTGTGTTTAAAAGGAAAATAAAAAGTGTACTACATGACATTCACGCCCCCTTCTCCTTAATTCCCCCCCGCCTTCTGCTTCAAAATACTAGTCATGGGGGCGCCTGGGTGGCTCAGTCGGTTAATCGTCTGCTTTCGGCTCAGGTCATGATCTCAGGGTCCTGGGATCGAGCCCCGCATCGGGCTCCCTGCTCAGTGGGGAGTCTGCTTCTCCCTCTCCCTCTGCCCCCGCCCCCAGCGTACTCTATCTCGAATAAATAAATAAAATCTTTAAAAAAATAAAATACTAGTCATTGGTCATTACAGATTCCTCTCTCTCTTGGAGAAGCTCTTAATCGCCTAAAAACCGGCGTCGTTGAGCTAATAATGACAACTCCACCAACCTAGTTAGCGCTACGGCAATGGCTGCAATGCCACAAAAGAGTATAGGATATGGAAACTGTACCCGCGTTAGTCCCAGGACCTGTGAGGCAGAGAGCAGCCTTTACGAAATGCGTTAACTTTTTCCTCCCTAGATCACCGCAAACAGCAACCAAAGCCGCCATGGATCCTCGCTCCTCCTCTTCCTTTCCTCTTTCCAAATCGTCCTGACAAGTCCCCGCCGATGCTCTTCCCCTGTTGGCCCGAGTACTCGGTTCAAAGGTTCCGCGGGCTAACGAGAAGAGCCGGTAAGGTTTTCAACGCGCCTGCGCAGCTTCTTTGCGTTCTAACCCTCACGGTCGCAAGCCGGGGACACCTATGATTGGACAAGGAAAAGGCGGGTCCCTACGCTTCTGCCTCCGCTTCCGGTCTGAGAGCCCGGGGGCAATTCATTTGTGGTCTTATCCTAAGGTGGATGGAGAAGCGAGCGCAGTCTCCCCCAGTTGCTACCTGCGCCCTGCCCTCCTCTCCCTCTTCCACGGGGGTTTGGCGGCTAGGTCACACGGGACGAAGTTCGGGCAGGGTCCTCGGCCCCTGCCATGGATGAAGGTGTTTCCCGCATCCGCCGGCGGGTGTCTGTCCGCAAAAGGGACCGTCCTAGCCTAGGGAGCGGTTTTGCCGCCCCCACCGCGGCCGAGCTCAAGCCGGGCGATGAGGAGGGGGAAGAGGCGATGGTGGCTGGAAGCCGGCGGAGGAAAACCGTGGAGGTGCAACCGGTCGAGGTATCAAATTCCGAGTTCCTTGTCTCATTGCCCACTTCGGGGGAGATGATACAGACCCAGGTCTCCTACCGCGCATGCCCACTGAAGGAACACAAAGACCCGCTCTAGAAGCCAGGGAACTAGACACTCCAAAATTTTGGTTGTTCCCTTCCTACATGCAAACAGTGGACCAATTGTCTACTAGCCTTCATTTGCTTACCTCGACTTTGTTATCGCTGTTAATTCTCACTTGTGAGGTATTGCTTTGCTATCCTCATTTTTATATAGATCTCAAAGGTAGACCCCCGAGACATAGAAGTCGTACATGCAGCAAATAAGAGGCATGATTGCGACGCAAATCTAGATTTCCAAGTTACTGCTGCTCCTGCGGTACTAATAAAACCTATCATTTATCGCACACCCATTATGTGCTGGGTACTTTGTTAAGCTATTTACATTATCTAGATTTGACAACAGAAATCAGGCCCTGAGAGGTCAAGAAACTGCACTTCTGACTCCAAATCCTGTTTTCCTAATCACTTCACTATATTGCTACCTCTAAATTTACATCTCTTCTGTTGAGTAGACCATCCCAAGTCAGTGTGCAGACCCTCCCTTCCAATTCCTAATTCCTAAGAACAGAATCTCCTTAAGAGTGTCCAGTTGTACAAGCATGGTTTTGTTACAAGCCAGTTTCTGTAGATTGGAGTCTGGGAGGGGGAATGGTGCTGCAGTTACCCGAAACTTCTTGTGAGATGACATTCCAGTGGATGTCTATTGGTCTTGCTACCTTTTTAAGGATTTAAAAGCTTAAGAATTAGGATCCCAGTATCACCATACCCTAGGAGTACAGCTTGTGAAAATTACTTAAACACTCTGGCTTTCCTTTTCTTCATCTGTAAAATGGAGATGATAATATCCATTTCATAGGGTGATTTACATTTAGGTCTGTGATCCATGTAATTATATACCTAGTATATATTTAGAGGTAGCAATATAGCTGAGACTTTTGTTCTTAGTGAAGCTAGAATTGGCCATAAAGCTTTTCGTTTTCTTTCCAGAATGACAGTGAAGAGGACATGTTTGGTGACTATGACAGCTTTGCTGAAAATTCTTTTTTAGCTCAAGTTGATGACCTGGAACAACAATATATGCAAGTTCCTGAACATAGGAAACATGCCTCAGACCTTAGCACTGAAGATCTTTGTTCAGAAAGCATCAAACACAACAAACTCAGCATTACTACTGTAGGTAACTTTACTGAATTAAAAACGGATGAGCACATAAAGAACCATAGCAGGCATGAAGATGTCTCCATTGAACCTGATATTTTGTATGATGTGCCTTCTTCACAGGTTTTATACTTTGAAAATTTGCAGAACTCTTCAGATGATTTGGGCAATCAGTGTACTAAAGAGAGGGATTGGAACGCATCCTCTCACAAGACCGTGAATGAGGAATTACCCCAGAATAGAATAGAACAACACCAGCAAATTGATGATTCCTCTTCTAAAGTCAGAACTAGTTCAGAGGAAAATAGGAGAAAGAGTCTTAAAGAACATCTAAAAAGTGCCATGACTGGAAATGCCAAGGCCCAAACACCGATATTTTCTAGAACTAAACAGCTCAAAGAGACTCTCCTATCTGAAGAAATTAATGTTGCTAAGAAAACAATTGAGTCATCATCGGATGACCTTGGTCCTTTTTATTCATTACCCAGCAAAGTGAGAGACCTTTATGTTCAGTTCAAGGGAATTGAAAAATTATATGGTAAATGCTTTTTGCTGAAATGAAAAAAATTTACTATTATTACCATATTACTAGTGCAAGTCAATGGAAAGCAGTGGTCCTATATCTCATCTTAAGACAAATAAAAATATCAGTCCTCTCAACCTTCCATCCCTAACCTGCTGCTACTGAACCTCTTTCCTTCCCTTCATGGTCACACTTGTCAAATCTATTATCCTGCCTGTCTCCCTTTCCTCACCTCAAGTAATTCCCAGCCCACTCTGGGTTCTATGCTCTCATATAAGGTCTAATGATGAGGGTGTCTAAATCCAATGATACTTTTAGTTCTCACTTGCCTGGCTTCTCAGTAGCTTACATGACACAATTGACCAGACCCTTGAAACACTCACTTCTTGACTACTTGACATTCCACGCTGGTTTTTTCATGACTGTCTAGCTGCTTCTTAGTTTTCCTAGCTGGTGTGTTTTTGGCTGGCTCTGTCTTCTGTACAAAAACTTGAAGTTCCTTTGACTATTCATGGCCTGAGTGAAAGTGTCAATATTCGTAATACCATTGATTAAGACTAAACATCTTTAAGGGGTGCCGGGGTGGCTCAGTCGTTAAGTGTCTGCCTTCGGCTCAGGTCATGATCTCAGGGTCCTGAGATCGAGCCCCGCAGCGGGCTCTCTGCTGAGCAGAGAGCCTGCTTCTTCCTCTCCCACTCCACCTGCCTGTGTTCCCTCTCACTGTGTCTCTCTCTGTCAAATAAATAAAATCTTAAAAAAAAAAAAGACTAAACATCTTTAAAGATAGCTAAAGTTAAGAGTTAAGTGCAAAGAGAGTATTAATAACAATATATATTGTAATGTTTTTCAAAAATCCTGGGTCCTTGCCTATATTTCAGATATGTGTCATTTTAGACAAAGAAGGGACAGTTGCTGGCATCCTGAAAGATGAGCCTATCAACCAGTCACTTCATAAGTATTTCTGAGACTCCTATGTTAGTGCTGTATGAACCATGTGAAACCATGGTTCTCATCTCAGGGAGAAGACAATCAGGTGAAGAAGTAGAACTACGGGAAACAAAGTAACGTAAGACTACAAGAGTCTAATAAATTTTAAATTGTAAGGTTTGCAGTTAAAGAGCTAAAGGTGTGTATTGCCCTTGAAGTTGGTGTTAACTTTCTTCCCTCTGCTTTTCTCCCGGTACCTTGTTCTTTATTTAATCTGTATCTCCTGCCAGACAGTACCTTGAGGACAGGGCTCTATCTAACTCATCTTTTTCTGATGTAACTAGCACTGTGCCTAGTACATTCTGGTAGGTTCTCAATTGCTGGGGGTTATCGGCCTAGTTAGGAATTCTGGCCCTGTCACTGAAACACAAGTTTTGCACTCTGAGCCTTAGTTCCTGATCTCTTAAAGAGGAATAATAATAACAATAATGGTTGTTTTGTAAGTTATGTTCTGCGCCAAGGACATGCCAAGTTAGACTGTGGTAATGACTGTCCATAACTATATTAGTAGCTTCTAAGTAAGAACGTCAGTAAATAACAGGTTTTAAATCTCTTTTTACTTATAGATCTGGCTTGATGACATGACCAATTTAAAGCATAAATGTGTATGCCACTTTTCATTGCACTAAAGCAGTGGTTCTCAAAGTGTAGTTCCTGGACCCCAAAGTCAGCATCACCTGGAAACTTGTTGAAATAGGCATTCTCAGGCTCCATCCTAGGCCTACTGAATCCAACTCTGAGGTTGTGACCTGGCAATTGGTTTTAACAAGCCCACCGGGGGATTCTGATGTGCCAAAAGTCTGAGAACCACTGAGCTTGAGAACCTCAACCCTATACTGTTATTTTTGCCTTTTTATTGTAAAATTGCTTGCTTGATGTGTTTTATATAAATGTTTAGAACCAAGTTAATTTCATCTTTTTTTTAATGTGTGAAGATAAGTGATATTACTAAATATTTGCTATTTTGGTCATTTTATACTTTAAAAATTTGAGTTGGATAAAATGCAGAAATGGTCAAGTTATATTTTCATACAAACATCTGCAGCTTCATACATAATGGGTGATACCAGTCTGAAATATTTTTAATATGTATTAAATATTAAGCTTACGTATTTAAGTGTTTTTGAAATATTTTTAAAGTTGAAAAAAGTCATTTGCAAATATTTGGGAATCACCAAAATACAAGAAATTAAAGTCCCTTGGCTGTCATTCAGACGTAATTATTTTTAATACCTTTGTTACATATTCTCTTAGTCATTTTTTTAATTTAATTTTTTTGGAAAACATAATACATTCAAGTCCAACTTTTATATATTCTTTTCTAATATGTACATAATTGGGTTTATGCAATCCAATACACATTCATGATCTTTTACTTAACTGTATATTGAGCATGTATAAATCAATCTACCACCTGTTTTCAAGCTGCAAAGAATGGTATCATATAATTGTACAATAATTCATTCAACTTTTACCCCTTGATGGCTCTTTGTTATATATAAACACTGCTATGATGAACATCTTGCACATAATCTTTATATGTCTTTTTATTTCTATAGGTGTAGAGACCTAGAAGTAATACTGCTAGATGAAAGACAGTGTGCAGTTTTGTTTTCAATACTGTTAGTTTGCTTTCCAAAAGGATTATAGTATTTTATGCTCTCATCAACCACCACAAGAATATCTGTTTGTCCCCAGTCAAGTCAGCTCTGGATTTTCCATGTGTGAGGCTTTTTTTTTTTTTTTTGGTAGTAGTAGTTACTTGTATTTTACTTGTGTATTTATTTTGCCAATCCATTAAGTAACAGTTGAGCATCTTTTCATGTATTTCTCCCTGCTGTGAAATGTCTTATCAAATCTTTTGCCTGTTTTTCTAGTGATAAAGTACTAGTGCACGTTTTGGAGACTTTTGATGATCCACATTGTCAGATTAGCCTACAGAGTAGTTACACTAATTTTCACACTATGTTTTGGATCTGATGTGATCCTTTTCATGAATTCCACCTTTCTAAATTGTGGAACTCCTAGATGTGCCAGTTAATAATCTTAGTCTTTTATATTTTAAAGACTTTATTTTTGGGGTGCCTGGGTGGCTCAGGTGGTTCAGCGTCTGCCTTGGGCTCAGGTAATGATCTCAGGGTCCTGGGATCAAGCCCCACATTGGGCTTCCCCACTCAGCAGGGAGTCTGCTTCTCCCTGCCCCTCCCCCCTGGTTGTGCTCTCTCTCTCTCTCTCTCTCAGATAAATAAATAAATAAAATCTTTTTTAAAAAATTAAGATTTTATTTTTAAGTCATCTCTACACCCAACGTGTAGAGATCTTACAACGCTGAGATCAATAGTCACATGCTCTATTGACTGAGCCAGCCAGGCACCCTAATCCTAGCCTTTTGTGGTTTAAATATTCTTACAGTTCAAAATGGTATTCAAACCAGAGTTCAGCTCCCCATGAGAGCCTGTTGAATAGTCTTCCTTAGTGTGTATAAAACCTCATAGATTTTTCTTTCTCCTCCTCCCATTTCTCTCTAGGATGTTGTTTGTGTGGATGAGGAAGGGAAGCTTACACAATCTCCTTGCAGAACAAAAGGAAAAGCTAAGAATTCACACAGATCCTTGTACTGTCCTTTAGTTCCTCTGATGTCTCGGATAATGTCCCAGGCACTGTTGGAATCTTAGACCTAAGTGTGCAGCTAGCAAATAGGTGGCCCAGTTGCCCAATCCGCTGCCCAGGCCTGAAGAATTAAGACTCTCATTGGCTGTGTCCACTGTGCCTAGAGGATGTTTGACACTTAACACTGATGTATAATTACACTTGTCCATGTATGAGAAGATGGATATACAGAGTGGGATTTGATTTTTCCTTCTTAGGAAACTTTCTTGAAACTGAATTGCAGAAGGGGAAAAATAATGCTTTTTTTTAATTCCGCAGAATGGCAACATACTTGCTTAACATTGAATTCTGTGCAAGAAAGAAAAAACTTAATATATTCCTTGCCAACAAGTGGTGGAAAAACCCTCGTGGCTGAGATTTTAATGCTGCAAGAACTGCTCTGCCGGCGAAGAGATGTTCTAATGATCCTACCATATGTGGCAATTGTCCAAGAAAAGGTGTGATTCTTTTTTTAACAAACAGTATTTGCTAACATTTTCACATTAAAATATAAAAACTAGCATAAATATAACAACTTTTCATTGAGAAGAGGTAGAGAATATTTTTAGGATGTGCAAAAACAAGTGTAGGACCTACCAAAAATCTCTTCTAATACTAATTACCTGTTGCAACAAGAATTTTATTTTTTTTTCTAAACTGGTGTATTAAATTCCATTTTAATATTGATATTTAATATGTTGATATTCAGCCTGCCTTTTCAAGCAGAAAGTAACCAATTATTTTATCAAAGTAAGTGAATTATTCTGGGTTGTTTTTGTTTTTGTTTTGCATCAGAGGAGACAGTTGAAATTTATTTCCACATCAATTATGTAGTTTAAAAGTTAACATTCATTTGCAAAGAGCCGCACACGATAATTATGACATTTCTTAGATATATGTCTTACCTTATTTCCACATCGATTATGTAGTTTACAAGATACATCCATTTTGCAAAGAGCCACACATTAATTATGACATTTCTTAGATATATATGTCTTATCTGTGACCTTGTTCTCATTCACTGGTATTATATACTACTTTAGATTTTTTAAAAATCAACATGAACACTTGGTAATTGAGTTCTTATTTATCTGATTTTTTTGTTTGTTTATTTTAACTAATATTCTAGATTTCAGGTTTGTCAAGTTTTGGTATAGAGCTGGGTTTCTTTGTTGAAGAATATGCTGGAAGCAAAGGAAAATTTCCTCCAATTAAAAGAAGGGAAAAAAAATCTCTATATATTGCCACTATTGAAAAAGGACACAGTCTGGTGAACTCCTTGATTGAAACTGGAAGGATTGGCAGTCTGGGTCTGGTTGTTGTAGATGAGGTTGGTAACTACTTTTATAATTTATCAACATTTTTATTATACTAACATTATTATGTGTATCTGCTTAGTACCTCTATGAAAATAAGTATTTTATTTTAATATATAGGGAATACAGATGAATACATTTCATACTTGGTAATCTTAAATTCAGTTTTGTGTCAAGTGTTTTTTGAAGAGTGAATATATGTGTGTATATATTCAATTTTATAATGGTATTTGTGAATTCTAGATATGTCAGGATGTTGCCCCAATCCTCATTAACCAAAATACCAGTGATATAATGCATATGAACTCTAGTTGGTATATCCAGAACGCTTAAGAGTTATAAAGCAAAGATTACTTCATTTCATATAAATACATGCGTGTTCTATATAGGCATTATATGTAAATTTACTTTTCTCCCTCCCTTCTTTTTTTAAATCTCAAAGTTGCACATGATTGGTGAAGGGAGCCGTGGGGCTATACTGGAAATGACCCTAGCAAAAATCCTCTACACTAGCAGTAAGTACTTTTTCAAATGTGGTCACTAACTGATTTATCCTCAGGAGGCCTATGAAAGACTTAATTCTCTCACTAGCTATACTCTGCAGCCTCGAGCAGGATACTTAAGCTTCCTGCCTTGGTTTTTTATTTCTAAAGTAAACATAAAGTTTGGTTGGAAAAATGGTTACGTGAGCAGAGTTGTGAATATGAAGGAAATTAACATTTGGACATCCCATATTATTATCCTCCACTTACTAGCTGTGAGTGCATAGGCATGTGACTCAAACTCTCTATTTCCTCATCTGTAAAATGGGGATAATAATGGTACCACCCTGAGGGGAATGGTTGGGAGGATTATATGAGTTAATGTAAAGCAGTCAGCAGTTGCCCAGCAAGTAGCACTCAGTAAGCGTTTGTTGCTGCTGCCACCATCAATATCATCCTCATCATTACCAATAAAGCAGTAAATGTAAGTAGTCACCTTAAGGAGCTATTTGCAACATCAGATAGTCTTTCAGCATATGTGAAATATTTGTTCTAAATGTCTTCTTTCCTATTTATAGATACACTGTTGCAATACTTACTAAGTTATATATTGCAGGGCGCCTGGGTGGCTTAGTTGGTTAAGCGACTGCCTTTGGCTCAGGTCATGATCCTGGAGTCCCGGGATCGAGTCCCACATCGGGCTCCCTCCTCAGCGGGGAGTCTGCTTCTCCCGCTGACCCTCTTCCCTCTCGTGCTCTCTATCTCTCATTCTCTCTCTCTCTCAAATAAATAAATAAAATCTTAAAAAGAATTATATATTGCAATAGCTTATATATGGAAAATTACTATAAAGGTCAAATATTAAGAATTATTTTTAAAATTTTGATAGCAATGGTATTAGGCAGATTGTAGCACTTTATAATCATACATTTAAAAAAGTTCTTGAGTACCTACTTTGTGCCAGGCACTATTTTAAGTGCTAAGGATATAGCAGTGAATAACACACAAAAAAATAAACTCTGCCTTCATCAAACCTGTATTTTAGTGAAAGTGAGTAGACAATAAGCAGATAAACAAGAAAACATACAGTGTGTCAGATGGTGACAAATTCAATGGAAAAATATAAAGCAGAGGAAAAGAGAATCGTCACCTACTTGTCAAATCCAGTGCACACTGACTGTCCTTGTCTTATTTTTCTTCAGCATTTGGTTGTTTATCATTTTTTTTCCCTTTGAGTGCTAAAACACTCTCTCGGCTTCCATACTGTCTCTCTGTGGGGGATCGTGTGTTACCACTGAGAGATAGCACAGCGTAATGGTTGAGGGCAGACTCTGGAGCTTGATTAAAATCCTGACTCACTTTTAACTACATATGTGACCTTGAGCAAATTATATTAACTGCACCTCTGTTTCCTCGTGCATCAAAAATAGATGATAGTGAAATGAGCAAAATTGGTGAGGGGGATTAAGAGGTACAAACTTACAGTTATAAAATAAATAAGTCACAAGGCTGAAAAGTACAACATAGGGAATATAGTCAATAACATTGTAATAATGTTGTATGATGACAGATGGTAGCTATACTTACTGTGGTGAATCGTGTATAATGTATAGAATTGTCAAATCACTGTGTTATACACTGAAACTAATATAACACTTCATGTCAGCCCTCCTTCAATAATAAAACATTTTTAAAAAAATGGATGATAGTAATAGATCCTGCCTGACTGAACTGCTTTCCTGTGGAAGGCAGCTATTTCATACTGCCTAGGAAGACATGCAGCTTCATGAGTTTCACTCCACCTTTGTTTAAAAAGAAAAAAAGTTGACAGCCTGATAGCAAGATCCCATAAAGGCCTTTATTTGGCAAGAGTTCAGGACCTATTCAGCCCTGCATCCTACATCATACATCTGCCTATAGGCATACCTGTGGGATATGTCATAACTCTTCGTAACAGTGGTCCAGAGAGTCAGCAACAAGCGTATTTATACTCATTATTGTTGCTTAGAAGTCTTGATTAAGATCCAACTTTTTGTCCAGTGAGAAATTCTGTAAAATTCCAAATAGTAACTTTCAGGACACCTGAAAATTTTCAGTCTTTGATTTGCAGAATAATACTGTACTACTCTCTTTGTATTTTTCTTACCTCCTCTCCACTCTCTCCTTTCCCAGATCACTCAGGAAGAATCCAGAACACAAAAAGCTTGCTAAATTACTATTATGTTACACTAAATAACATATTTTACTCAATCCTTTGGATTTTTTTTTTTAGAAACAACTCAAATTATTGGCATGAGTGCAACACTGAACAATGTTGAAGACCTACAAGAGTTCCTTCAAGCAGAATATTACACCAGTCAATTTAGACCAGTATGTACCTAAGGTTTGCACTGTATGGATTTATATCTATCATCTTACTTAGAAAGAAAAGTAGCAAACATACTGTTCTAAAAAAGTCTATGGAGTAGTGAAGGGGCATAATTCCCCTGACCATGGCTATATGCTAATACGAGTTTGTGTATAGAGAATACAAACTTTGGGGTTAGGGATCTTGGCTTGGGTCACGACTGTATCTGTAGCACCTGGAACAGTGCTTGGCCCATGGGCCTTCAATGAATATTTATTGAATGAAATTTTCCAGACTCATTCTATTTTTCCACTTCTTATTCTGTAAGATAGTTTTTTTTTTTTACTTGGTCAAAATTTAGTCATATTTTGAGTTATTAGCACATAAAAACATTTGTCTTTTTTTTTTCTTTAAGAAGCTTTTATTGGCACAGCCCAGGAAAAGGCATGGTAGCCATTTCTGAGCAAAAACCTGTATCCCATCAAGGTCTTCAGTGTTAGGTTTAACACCGCACTGAACCAGAAAGTTTAAGTTCCTGAAACTTAAGTTCCAGACTCCCCAGGTCACTAAGAGGTTAAGAGGTTCCCCTGCCAAAAAAAATTTTAAGTAAACTCTATGCCCAAATTGGGGCTCAAACTCATGACCCTGAGAACAAGAGTCACATCCTCTACCAACTGAGCCAGCCAGGCGCCCCAAGAGACTCCAAAACTTATAGGTCAAGCATTGCTGCTTCTGTTAAGATCAGAAAGGCAAGAGACAGTCTTGAATATGCATCCTTATTATGGGATGACTAAAAGGGCTGGAAATGGTATTAAGTTTTTTCAGATTGACTCCAGGTCACTCCCCATTACAAGGACGATATTTTCAGCAGTCACACTGAAGTCCCTCTCCATTCTGTATTTGGCTAAGCAAAACATTTATCTTGAAAGTTAAAAGGTTTTCAAATATTTATGCTTTGGTAGTTATAGTGCTTTTTTTAATAAGTTAAGACTTTACGTGGATTTAAATTTAAACTCCCTAATAATGGTATTCCATTATTAAAGACTTAAAGTAAATAAAGATAATTCATATTTATTTGAAAGTAGCTTATAATGAACATATACTCTGTCTGCAGTACTAGTATGCATGGTCAGTGTCCAAATAGCTTTTCAGAAAATAATTATTGAGAACCACCAAATTTTAATTTGAAATTTGATGTTTTTACATTTTCACCAAAGAGAATTTTCGAGAGATACTTGCTGACTTTAATAGTCGAATTAGACACTATTCTTTTAGAAATGCAATGAACTGGGTGACTCAGATGGTTGGGCGACTGCCTTCGGCTCAGGTCATGATCCTGGAGTCCCGGGATCGAGGCCCGCCATCGGGGTCCCTGCTCAGCAGGGAGTCTGCTTCTCCCTCTGACCCTCCCCCCTCTCATGCTCTTTATCTCTCATTCTCTCTCTCTCAAATAAAAAAATAAAATCTTAAAAATAAATAAAAAAATAAAAATGCAATGAACTGTATTTATAAACATTTTTTGTCAGGCACCTGGGTGATTCAGTTGGTTGAGCATCTGCCTTTAGCTCCGCCGCTTTGGGCTCCCTGCTCAGTGGGGAGTCTGCTTCTCCCTCTCCATCTCTGCCCCTGCCCCCCTGCTCATGCACTCTCTTTATCTCAAATGATAAAATCTTAAAAAAATTTTTTTGTCTATAAATACTTAAATTAAAAATAATGTGGTATTTATAATTAAAAATGATGACAGAAAAGTTTAGATCTTGAGGAATAACACAAATAAGACAGAATGTGAACAGTGACTTATACTTCTTGTGACAAATATAGAAGTGTCTGGTTTCCTTTTAGATAGTGGCTATTCAAAACAAGGATATTAATCTCTACTTTGAAAGGGAAAAAGAGACTTAAAGAAATGGTAAAGAAAAAACTTTTACATTGAAGCATGTTTTACATACCTTAGAAAAACTACAGTTTTTGTATAGCTGTCCGTTTTTACACCATTTTACAAAATTTAAAACTCTGGAAAGAGGAATTTGTATATGGTATTAATTGCAAATGTCTTTCTAATTCAAGGTTGAATTGAAAGAATATTTGAAAATAAACAATGCAATATATGAGGTTGACTGCAAAGCTGAGAACGGCATGACTTTTTCACGTCTCCTTAATTGTCAGGTAACATTGATAACCCTTGAGTATGAAGTTCCCAGACTTGGTGCCCTGGGGCACCACAAAAGATTCACAGGGTACCATGGGATAGTTTAGATAATTTAAGAGCAACAGCTGGTGCTTGACATCTGTTGCATACCATACAAACTACTGGTTCAATGTAGTTTCCAGTTTGGACATCAGATCACACTGTATTCCTTTCTATGATATCGTATCTTAGTGAAGTTTTTGGTTTTTTTTTGCAGTTGCTGTAAACAAATACCATGTGAAAATCAATGTGGGACGGAAAAAGAGTAGCCATGTCCAATTTGATTCTAAGATTTGAGACTATTGCAGTGCCTGGTTGTGTGCACAGCCTGTTAGTGAGCTGTTATGTTTAAGAATGAGATAATATTTTCTTCATTCAACTGATGTGTAGTATTTATTCAGATGGCTACTAAATTGTGAGGAAAAACATATTTAAGTTGTCTGTACGTAAATACCTGATAAACAAAGCTGTTAGGTATTTCTTTTGGCCCTGGAGCTCCATGAACCAAGAAAATGTGCAGACCTCTCCCTTAAATGTTTATTCATTCAGCAATAAGCACAAAACAAGAAGAAACTTTTGTGGGCTATGTAGTTCAGATACTGGGTATGAAGATGTTAATGTCTGCTGTGTTAATGTCTATAGCTTATATAAAGGATATTAAAAGGGGGAGAAAGGGATTTTACAATATTTTTAGAATTCTATAAAGGTGTATTACTCTAAATCTGTATCTTAGTTTTCAGTGAAGTTGAAGGAAGGGAGATTTTTAAATAATTTTATATTTTTTTTATGCTGGGTTCCTTGTGTCTGCTTGATGAATACATTTTTTATTTCTGAAAATTTATCCTGTAGTATGATTGAATCTGTTTTTGAAAACTATTAGTAATAGTAAAACTATATCTAGTTTGTGTAGTCCTTTGTTATTAGGACCAATCTGTGTTTGTCTCTGTGGACTTCTTTGCTTTGCTCTGGTAGAGGTGAACATGCAGTGGGGTTATTAATAACATTTACTGTTTTCACTTATTTAATTTAAAACCAAATATACCTAACAAAACCCTTATAACCTAAAAGTGGGACTAAACATTTTGATGTTTCATCTGGGTTTCATCTTTTCTTTTAAATGATCAGATTTATTAAATGAGAAGTTCAAAATTATGGATGGTTTACTTACCTTTCAAAGCACTGTGGTAAAATGACAGGTTTTCATGTTTACTAACTACCTTGTTCCTACATCTTGTTGTACAGTATTCTGATACTCTGAAAAAGATGGATCCTGATCACTTGGTGGCATTGGTGACAGAAGTTATTCCCAATTATTCCTGCTTAGTTTTTTGTCCCACTAAGAAGAACTGTGAAAACGTAGCAGAAATGATATGCAAATTTTTAAGCAAGTATGTTAATCTTTAAAAAATACTCTGTTTTATTTTATCATGGTTTACATGCTGTGTATTCTGTTTATTCAACAAGCACTTATTATTTCTTGTAGAACATTATATTAAGTTGCTATACTAGATTCTAAGGGCCCTAACCTTGAAGAAGGTTTAACTGTGAAATTCATATATGTGAAATAGCCAAAGAAAAATTCTAAGACTACATGTAAGTAAGAGAATGCTGACTAATGTAATGGCTTAGATCAATGATTTTCAAACTTGACTGCAAATAAGTCCTCTCAAGGCCTTTTAAAAAATCCCAGTGCCCAGGTTACATTGCAGACAAATCAGAATCTCTGGGGGTGGGACCCAGGCATCGTTATTTTGTAGAACTTTCCAGGCAGGTTCAACATGCAGCCGAGGTCAGCCACTGGCTAGGAGTCAGAGGACCAGTCACTAATAACTGTGGATATGAATCATATCTTTATTTTTTTTTTAAGATTTTATTTATTTATTTGAGACGGATAGAGGCAGAGAGAGAGAGAGAGAGAGCACTCGAGCGGGGGTGGGGGGCCAAAGGAGAGGGAAAAGCAGACTCCCTACTGAGCAGGGAGCCTGACTCAGGACTCAATCCCAGTACCTTGAGGCCATGACCTGAGGTAGACACTTAACCGACTGAGCCACCCAGGTGTCACACGAATCGTATTTTTAGTTTAACCTTCTCTTTAATTAAATACTGTTGCCTTTGTTTTCTTAGTAAACTTTACACTTAAGTTGTGTGGACATTGCAGTTAAATTTCTTAACTAATTAAGAAATTTATGAGTTTGTAATTTGATAGTATTTTAATATTGGCTCTGTTATACTCATAGAGATAAGTATAAAGTGATCTTGAATATGAACAGTTCAGTTTTTTTCTGTACCTTTGTCCTGTACGTAGTTTTATCGGATTTTTCAGACTTCTTTTTGGCCCCTTAACCAATGCTGTATCACCATAGACCATTATTACCCTGGATTCTAATCTAGTCAGCTCCCACCTCCCCTTCCAATCCTAGTGTTATGGATTGGTTTAATAGAATTAAATTTATTGACTAGCAAAAAGATCTAGATGTTTGGGATAGAGTCAAGGAGTTTTCCATTTCGGTAACTAATAGTCTGCCTTTACACTGATGATGTTGATTATAAAAATCTAAGGAAATTAAATTATTGAGGTAGTCTCAGTAAATCATTTGTTTTCATAGAATAATTTAAGGGAATTTTAGCACTGGCTAAGTAATTTGGAAATTTAGGAACTAACATTTGACTGGAAGACATGCAATTTATTAGTTATACCCTTGACTTATTTTGCTTGTTGATGATAATAGTTTATTTGGATCATAAATGTTGATGTTTAACATTGAGGCACTTAAAAATTTGGTTTCCAGAACCCTTAGTTAATGAATTGTAATGGATATTTACTCTTTTTTTTTAAGATTTATTTATTTATCAGAGAGTGCCCCCAAGCCAGGGGAGGGGCAGAGGCAAAGAATTTCAAGTCAACACCCTGCTGACTGCAGAGCCCTACACAGGGCTCAGTCTCATGACCCTGAGATCATGACGTGAGCCTAAATCAGGAGTCAGATGCACAACGGACTGAGCCACCCAGGCACCCCAATACTTGATACTTTCTCAAAGAAATAGGACTTAACACTTTCTGAAGGAAAATTTCCTCTAAAATATACTTTGCATATTACTTGCTGCTTTCATAAGCTGAATATTCCGAGTATAGTTTAGCATCCTTTTTTTGCAGCTATTGATTAAGAAATGGTGAACATTCTCCAGAATAGATCACATCCTAGGTCACAAATCAGGTCTCAACAAGTACCAAAAGGTTGGGATGATTCCCTGCATATTTTCAGACCACAAGGCTTTGAAACTAGAACTCAGTCACAAGAGGAAAGTCAGAAAGAACTCAAATACATGGAGGCTAAAGAGCATCC